GCCCCGTCCCCCGCCGCCCCGCCCCGTCCTGCTCCCGTGCGCATCCAGTTCCGCTGCCCAGGCCTGCCGGCATCCCCTAGCTATCAGCGGTCGCGGACGCCATGGGGACCGCCTCATCGCTCGTGAGCCCCGCGGGCGGGGAGGTGATCGAGGACACGTACGGGGCGGGCGGCGGCGAGGCCTGCGAAATCCCGGTGGAGGTGAAGCCCAAGGCCCGCCTGCTGCGCAACTCGTTCCGCCGAGGCGCGGGGGCGGTAGCGGGGGCCGGGCCCGGGTCGCTGCCCCGCGGGGCGGGCGCGGGCGGGCTGCTGGGGGCCAGCTTCAAGTCCACCGGCTCGTCGGTGCCCGAGCTGGAGTACGCGGCGGCCGAGTACGAGCGGCTCAAGAAGGAGTACGAGATCTTCCGCGTCAGCAAGAACCAGGAGTTGTTGTCCATGGGCCGCCGCGAGGCCAAGCTGGACACGGAGAACAAGCGGCTGCGGGCCGAACTGCAGGTAACGCGCGCCGGGACACCCCTGCCCCTGCTCCAAACCGAGCGGCTTACAAAGTTAGGCGGAAACCGGTCATTTTAATTTGAGAGGCCATAGTCTCTTCCAGTCTAAAATGATTCCTTAACTCCCTCCCCTTTTTCTGTCTCTGTTGTTTTTGAAGACATGGTCTCGCTGCGGTGGCACGATCGCGTCTCTGCAGCCTGTAAGTATTGGGCTCAGCGATCCTCCCTTCTCAGCCTTCTGAAGTGCTGGGATTACAGGAGTGAGCCACCGCGCCCAGTCCCCGCTTTTCTGTTTTCTTTGGCTTTAAGACATCTAGAAGAAATTAGCCCGAAAGTGTCCTGAGGAGGCAAATGCCAATCTCCAGCGCCACTCCCGCCCCCGCGCCCACCCCCTCAGAAGGCTGGTGACATCTGTTGAAGCAACTCAACAAACTCTTCCTACGAGTGTTACCACCCTCCCCTCCATAAAAATTTTACTTCGGGCTTCAAGGTGGGGCTTATGTCTCAGTTTCTTTGTGAAGTTTCATTGCTCTTGCATTTTGATAGTCTTGACCTTAAATTTTCTGGAAGCCTTCTGATTCTCGCCATCTTAACTGCTGTGGTTGAAAACCTTCTCTAGATGTAGTCAAATTTCCTTAGTTCATTTGATTAATTTACTCTCAAACCAGTTGTTGTATGCCCTCCATGTGTAACAGGTCTGTTATAATTCATTAAAACAGTATATAAAGCAAGAGATTGCTTTTCTCCAAGCAAAGCTGTAAGACTTTTGCTATCAGTTTGGGGCCCCTCTGATCGTTGTTGTGTTGCTTGTTTACTCTTTACTGTGAAAGAGACTTCTAGGCAGCCTAAGAGTTCCTGGGGTCATTACTAGGGGTGAAATAAATACCTCAGACTGATTTTTCTAAAAGAAAAATGCTTCCTGTCTTCAGGCCTACACATTCTTCTAGTGAGGATTTTTTTGTTTTTTTTATTTTTAAACTCTCTCATTAGTTGTTGTGTAATTATCGTGGTCTGGGAAGAAGTCCGTGTAGCAATGTATCTGTGGTCTGATAACAGTTTTCCTGCTGGGCAGCCTTAATGCACTTGCATTTATAAAATGGACTTGTGCATTTCAAATATCTGATTTCATGTGTCCAAGCCACTGCCCAACAGACACTGCACGTTGGAAACGACTGTGAGGTGGCAGGTAAAAAAGGCCAAACCAAGCAGGGCGGAGTGCAGTAAGGGTTGGCAAGTGTCACAGTCCCGGATTACTCCTGCCACCAATCCTGATTCTCTGTGAAACATATTGGCTCCTTTCTCACATATCTCTGCATGAAAAAACTCTTCCAGATTTATTTCATTCAGCCAGTCGGACAGTTACTGGAGACCTGCAGTGTACCAGGCACTGTGAAGTGTTCGAGAGATGGTCAAATGAATAAGACATAGTGCCAAGAGGCACACAGTCTCCTAGAACTAATTATCCTTCAAGTTAGGCCTTATAAAATTAATTTTTACTATCATCAAGATGGAAAAGGCATAAGGAAGTTTAAGAACTGATGCAGTTGTTTAAAAAAAAAGTTAATTTCCATTGAAGGCTTAATGTTGAAGTCTTTATTTGTTGTAGTTCTATAGTTCAAGCATGCTTGCATTTTTTTCCCATTATGTTTTGAATAAAATGACAATGTGAAGTTCCTGGTAATTGGTAAAATAATAAGTAGACTTAAAATTCTAAGATATGTAACATATATATAAGAATGTCGGCCGGGCGCGGTGGCTCAAGCCTGTAATCCCAGCACTTTGGGAGGCCGAGGCGGGTGGATCACGAGGTCAAGAGATCAAGACCATCCTG